TTTTGGTGGGGCGATTTTGGTAGTACCCATCAAGTTTCACCTTTCTACCTTGAAGCACAGCGCAAAGTAAATGATATACACCTGCAACCCCAACATGCAATTTGGTAATATCCCACAAGTTAAACGGGAGCTAAAGGGAGAGCCTATTACAGCGGACGTAAAACCAGACAATATCGTTGCTCATACCAGCAACGCCCAACTTATCTTGCATGAAAAGGTGAACAATTGGGCCGTTTAAAATAACCTCACCAGATTGCCGCTGCCTAGCAAGACTCAAATAAATTACTCAAGATCAGAGCTGTAACATCCCATTGTCAAATTCGTTTCGGTAACAAGTTGGCTTGTCATCGCAACGGCGCGTAAGAAAAATCTGCATAAATGTTATTTTACAATTTCCTAAGAGAAGGTATCGAGCGGAGCAAACCACAAAACAACAGTACAAGGGCTCCCGTCGGACGAACGGTAGTGCGTGTTATGGTGAGCAAGAAACCATCATTCTGCCCTTTAAATGGCAGTGGTCGCAAGGAAAAACAGACCCCGGAATCTGATTGCATTTGTGATCACAAAGGGCGACGAATGAAGACGGGGAAGAACTACCTGCTTTCCTGGTCAGTTTAACAAATCCAAAAAATAATTAAGCCCAACAATGCAAACTCTAATTGTATCTTTATGCAATAAAAACCAGCGGCTCCTTCTGCGTTGCTACAACGGTTGAGGTGTTTGTGCAATATGTCAATCACCCCACATTTAGTGCTCAAATAATATTCAGTACCAAAGATTACTGGTTGCACCGGATTATTCTTTCTCTAGTGGTCCAGATGATTACTGACTTAAGCTATAAAAGGCTCACCTAACTTGTAAGGAACTTAAAAAACAAAACATGCAATGTTGGCATGCTGGGGCTTGCGAATGACTCCACTCGTAAGACGTCTTCCATTGCGAAAGTGGTCGTACTAAGTTAGAAACTCCATCCATACACGGCGGAAACTTGTAAAATTAATGCTGTACCAAAATATTTCCTGACCCAGCAAATAGCTCAACATTGCAACGCGAGAAAGTTCAACATTTTTGTACAAGAACTTATGAGAGGATTTTAAAAAGACAAACTGCAGACAAACTGTAGTTTCTTTTTACTCATGCTACCGATTTATTTTTCATGTATTCTGTACGTACCAGACCCGCGGCCCCATCCAGTCATTCAACAAGTTTGAATGCCTTCGGGCTGGTTAGGCTGACACAGACCTCCCCCATATATCGGCGTTTTGGTGAAACGTTGATTCTTGCCGAAACATCACTTGAACCGCCTTGTTTGATCCTCGCCGGTGAACAACTATCATCTTTCCTACCTTGGGTAACCGCACTTGCGTAAGCCGTCAAACTACCCAACTTCATTGGGCATTAACATACAATACTCCACTTTAACACTACTCGCCCATTTTGCTGGTTAGCTTTACTGGTGTCCCCAAGTGCGTTTGTGTTTACGTATAAAATTGCGCACATGAACTTGCGCATGTCACCTCGCCGCTTGGCTGCTCGAAACCTTAAATTCCTCCACGTATAGCTATGAACATCAAAAGAGATTTGAAGGCTTTGTAAGCCACTATACTGACGAAGGAGGTAACATTTTCTGCCGTTATTTTACTCGCATTATTGTAGAGCTGTTCCAACCTTCTTTTTGAATCGTCAACAGTACGCATCCTATGGAAATATAGTCTAGAACCCGTAACCTCCCGGTTGGTAGTTTACACACCTGACTGTTTAATCTGGAAACCCTGAGCTGCATCATAAATAGCCCACATTTAGGCAGGATATACCATCTCCAATCGCAAACTCGCGGTGAGCACGTCGTGTTCTTACATATCTAATAGCTCCGTTGATGTCGTCTTCTAAGACGTAGTTTCCGTTTGGGCCAATTTTACTGATTGAGCTGGTAAAGTGCGAGTGGAGATCAACAGGCAACCACGCACTTCTGTGGTTAATTTCGTGTGCCGCTAATTTAACTTGAATTTCCGCTGAGGATTTTCGGTTTTCCAGCGCTCAAGAGCTACCGACTGTAGTTGATTTCTTTGACATACACCTACGCAGTCCGACCTGAGGTCTATCTGGTGTGCAGTTTGACTGGGTGTTTACGGCGGATAACTTTCACCATGTCCTCGAATCGTCGCCTGACTGACATGTAACCACTGTGGTCCACCTCTTGTCTGCTGCCGGTCCGTAACTTTCTTCGAGGCACGTAAGAACTGTGACTGAGCATGGAAGTAAAGGGTAAATGTCACAGCACAATGCTGCACTCTGATAACGGGATTCGTGAGCATAAGTACAATGTAAGGACTAGTGATGTCGGACGTGTGTTTTGCAAAAGCTACGTTTCGCGCGCACCGACGGTCTCCAATTCGGTTTCAGCCGGGACGGAAACAATCATGTCAGCATGTGGCGCTATTGTCAGATGTTTGTCGCCGTCCAAACCCTTTTTGTTGCACGCAATATTCCAGCAATGAGTGGCCTCGGTGGGCCGATCGAGGCCTATAATATTAAGATTCGTTTGGTACGTTGTGTGGCAAGTTACCCCGAAAAGGACGCAGTCACAAAGCGGCTCGACAACTGTATCAGTATCACATTTGCACTCTACGCATTATAGTGGGTGCACTTTGCGTTTTCGAGTGGCAGCCATGAGTCGTTATTCAGTCGGCACATTGCCGTCTGAATGATCAACGGTGTGCCATTCTGGCACACTACAAAAACATTTACTCTACACTGTGTGTGGTCATTTTGATCGCGCACGACGCATCAGTTTTCTCGATGGGCTTAGTGGCATAGACAGTGAAATCCGTCAAAAAACTAAAACAATGTGGGGTTGCAATGATTCCGTTTTGAATTTAGCTTCTTTTCCGGTCATCCGGCGCAAAATGTAACGCTAAACCGGCTCAGAACTTTTGGCCATTGCAGTATCAGCCTTCAAGTTACCATATGTGGGCATTCAGTGATTATTCACTGAAGGGACAAATTGAGATCGTGTTAGATTCCACTCAAATACGTGGCTGGAAAGCCTGCATCTCGTGAATGGTCGGGACTAGCGCGAAGCTGGGGTGAATAAAATGCCCCCTCAATCATAATCACATTATTCTGTGGCATCAGCAACATGCGCAGTGGGTTCACTGGTACCCCCCTTGCGAATGTTGGGACAATGATCGCGAACATTGAATGACGAACCTTGTTTGGTGGCATCTCGTTAAAATTCTTTGTGGTACCTTTGACAGGAAATTATCTGGTTACTTTGGGAGTGTGAACTCCATGAAGCGATCATCTCCATCCGTCCCAAAGGTCGAAATGTCAATATTTCAACTTACCGAAACAAGAAGTTTATGTCCTTAAATTTCCTTAACCAATTGTCGTTACTACGTCCAGATACAGGCGCCCCAGTCTGGTCTTCAACGGTGAGAATGATGTCGTTTGCATACTTCAGATCGACAGGTTCTCACTAGCAACAATTTGAAGACCATCCAGCGTTCGCCCCAGTATTTCATCAATGATGAAGCTAACTAAGAATGAAGAGAGTGGACAATCTTGTCGGACACCACTTTGTGAAGGGAGCTTTTAACGGGCTCACCATACACTCCAACCCGCCAAGAATTGTGCGACCATAGGGATCTGATCATGTTCACAAACTTCTGCGGCATACTCTGTTAGGCATGTGTAGTTAACCGTACTCACTGATCGACGGAATCAAACGCACCATTGAAGTCAGGGAATACGACGATTGTGGGTCGCCTGTACATGTGGCGTTGATCTAACGCCTGGCAGTGTGAAGATGTGGTCAACATAGCCTCTACTCGATCGGAAGCATGCATGATTCTCGCGAGTCAATTTTTCGCGTGCCCCCAAAGGATGACGGAGAGCAAGTGACACCAGGAGCCTTGTCATAACAGAAGCCAAACTAACAGCTCTGTGGTTACTACACTCACCTCGAGTACTCTTTTGAAATAGGCACTACTATTGATTCATCCCATTTTTTGAAGAAGTCTCTTTTTCCCAGTTGGAGAGAAATAGGCTAGACAGGCCCTGTCTGAGGAGCCCACCGCAATCCTCGAAAATAGCAATTGGAAGGTCGGTCAGGACCAGCAGCACGATGACGCTTGAGTGAAGAAACACAATTGGAAACTTCTGAAACTGAAGGCGGCTCCACATTTACTGTCCATCTTTGTGATGTGGGCCAGGATTCTGGAGTGGAAGTAGCAGGTGGCCAGCTAAATTGCTATTCGAAGTGCTGTGCTCAGCAGTCCAAACTTTGCGCTCTGCCGTATATCAGGGAGCCGTTTGGTCTCTGATTATTTAACTGACTAGAGGCTTCCGTGGACCAGCCGAACGAATCCAGCAGAACGGCCTTCGGACGTTTCCAGCATTCTTTGCATTTCCTTGGAATTTCGGTCCACCAAGTTTATCGGTCTGCGCGAATACTCGGTTTTGCCTGGCGTCGGATGATTTGTCGGAGATAGTTTTGACTGCGGCCGGGAGAGATCTGTCGCTGGGTCTCCAGCAAAGACACCATCCCATCAGAGATCCACTGTTCGGATGGGGTTGGGTGGGTCGTACCGCAACCACACATTGCGGCTTTCAGTAGCGTTCCGGATGTCTATACCTATTGGCCACTTATATCCGACACCGTATCGTCAGCTAGGCATTCGAAGGGCTGGTTCTGATGGTTTTGTTCGACTTTTGGGTTCTTAACGTATAAGCTAGCTGTGAGCGTTTTTTGCGTCCGACAAGTATACTCACTCTTCATTCCTCGTCGACGAGGAGGAAATTCTGGTATGTCTACAGAGTCCCAATGTCAAAAACCTGAGAAGGAACTTATTGATCTGAGGGTGTGGATGATATCATTCTTGTGTCTTCTGTGCGTGTTTGGAGTCATGACTGCTTGCCAATGTGCATTGCATACTCTGAGAGTTTCTATCCGGATGACGAGAAATTGCTTGGGGGTTGTATAAAAGCGGGCAACATATGCAATGCCCTAATCATAACTGTTTGTCCAAGCCATCGTTCTCAACCAAATCAAAACGGGATATCATTAAGGTAAGCGGATCTTGCTGCTGCCAGAAAAGCAGCTGTGGTGGCAAACGAAAGTCCCTCAAGCGCTGGATGATCAAGGGCTCGAAGAATGAAGGAACACTGGTGGATTTCGAAGACCCAAGAGGTGGAGAAGGCTTCTCCTGCGGGCAACAGCTAAGCCATACTTCAGCTGATTCGATCAGCTGGTCTAAAGAAGACAGATGTCAGCGATGCGGCCGCTGATGGTGTATCAGTCAAACTTATCAGTACATCGGAATCGAGAATGCAAACGAACAGAAGCAGGTGTACCGCAAACAGAATCGTTCCATGATATCTAATTAAGAAGTTGGCAGTCCAATCTGATGTCAATGAAAGGCTGAAATGGTATACAAGACAAATTGTTGCCAAAGTGGAATAGTTCGCCTGAGGACATTTCTTCTAACAACTCTCTTTTGAAATGCTTGATCGTAAGACGGCTGCTCCTGGTTGTGTTGCATTAGAATGACGGGCTTACGTCCTCAAGCCGTCCATCTTGTAGATGAGCAACTTTTACAAAAATTCTGGTCCATTCACCGGCTTGGAACATTCAGGCTTCTAAGTTAATTCAAATGTATCGGAAAGAATCTCAATAGAAAACCAGGATCGATTGTAGCTGTCGTTGGAAGAGAAGAAGAGCGAAAATGATTTGCACAATGGTCTAAGTCAACTTTTCCATCAATGGTTGTCTTGGGAGGTGGGCTGAACGCTTTCGAGAAAAGTTCAGATGGTCTTTTACAACACCACTGCTGGAAGAACCCAACGAGCCCGAATGGGATATCCTCACCAGCCTTCCGTCAGTGACAGAAATCCAGTGTGTGATATGAATCTTCAAGCGCGACAAGACGCCTGGTACGGATGGTCTACACCCTGCGCTCCTCAAAGAAGGTTGCGAGATCCTGTGGCAACTATGCTACGGAAAAGTTGGAACGAAAACAGAGTACCGGTGGAATGGAAAACCTTGACCGTTATCCCAGCTTTCAAAAGGAGCGCAAGAACGTCATGTGATAACCATCGTGGTATCAGCCTTGTATTCGTCGCATTTAAGGTGCTCTGTTGCATTATTTTGCGCAGGTTGACGGATTATCTGAAGACAACCCCGTAAGAACCAACTTTGTTTCTGCTCTGACCGAGGCTGCTTCCACCATACCTTAGCTTTGAGACAAGCTCTTGAATAGCGTCACACCTACAGATGCCCCACGTTTGTAGTTTTTTCTCTCAAAGTTTCTTTGCTTCCATCGATTGTCAGAAGTTTCGGCGGTATATAGCAATCATACATGCTCCTTCCAAATTAATGCCGCTCACTAGAAGCACATCCAAAATTTTTGCCGAAACTATTGGGTCTTCAAAAATGTGATTTTTACGGAAAGTTGGTCTAATCAATTCTCACCTTTTAATGACATGCCGCTCATTGTGTTATGTCTCAGTGAGCAAAATTTGAAGCTCACGTGCCATCACCGGTTCGCAGTTTGTGAGTGGTTCCCTCGAGAAAATTACATAATTTCTCTTTGGAACATTTTGGCGTTCTTCGGTGTTCATTAGGAACAAAAGAATATCTAAAGAATTCCAATACAGGTTCTAACCAGGAAAATCGGTTGTTGATGTTTGTCCGCTTCACATACCTCAGGTTTAACAAATGAGATTATTTCTTTCAGTGAACTTCGCCACAACGTTTTTCCTACGAAACTCAGCTTCCATTAAGTATAAAATTGTTGGACAACAGCATTAACTGTGCGGCAGCGATTCAAGAGCCATCTCTGTATATGACCCCTTCCCCAAATATGTATATCTAGGCTGTAGATAATACAGCACCACGTGATAGTTGCGGGTAAAAATTACCATCGCAATGATATCATGCCTATTAAAAATATAAAGTTCTGTAGGTGCTGACCACCATAAAGCGATCACCATGATAACGGCAGCCGTTGTCGTTCACCTCTACTACTCATCCCAACTACTGGGTTCGTGTCTATGGGCGACGCTGTTTGTGGAGCCTCGCCTATGCGCAGCGGCCTAACGGAATGACCAACAACGGTCCTTCATAATCATAACTCTACATGTTGCCACACATCTCGAATATTTGTTGCAACTGCTAGGCCCGTGTCTATGTGTTACATTGATTATGAGGCTTCACCTATGCAACCTAGACAGTGTACTCCAGTTCGCATCAACCGCAGACCTATTATCTGCACCCGAATATCGATTATTGTTCTTGAAATCGAGCACTGTCGCCTCATTGAACCAGTTAGGAGTTGTGACAACTGTCGACTCTGTTATTTCAGGCGGCTTTCTAGCAGACGTTTTTGACACTCCTATTTTGAATCCTTAATGTAGACACGGCTGTCATATCACCTCATTTGAATGGCAGCAATGAACCGCCGTCAACCCTCGATGGACCCAAGAAAAACCTAGCTACTATGACAACCATAAACAGCTCATCCAAGATGTGCATGTACAAGGCTGTCCACGGACCGAAGTACGGCGTCGCGGTGACGGTACCGCGGTAGCCCCTATGAGGGCTAAGTGTGCTATGAGTATACGGAAATCCGTTGCTTGAGTTCACCACGTGCACTGGTGTGAGACAAGGCTGCACCCTCTCGTCTATCTTCCACAAATTTATTATTGATGTGGCAATTAAAAATTCTCTGCCTGCCTCTGAAACGTTGGAGGTTGAAATGTTCCCGGCAAGTTTGTCCAAAAGCATTTAGCATTCAGCCGATAGTGCTCCCCTTGTTTCGGATGCTTCAAAAATGCAAACCATTTTAAATAGTAAATAATTGAGTCACCCGCTGTTGCGACTTGCTGAACGGTCGTGAAACTGTGTATCGGTCCATGACCTCCTGTTGTGCACGGCAGCTCCGGAGGCAAAGGAAAATACTATAACCGTGTTTAAGGGGCAATGACAGAATGTTCAACAAGGTCGGGCTAGAATCTCCATCAGGCGTGGAGAAGCGTCCCCAGTGCAGATTCAGAAAGACCACTGTCAGTGTTCCGCCTACATCGGGATACTCGACACGAAGTTGAAGCATCTTTCAAAGGCACTGGAGGACTCAGGCGCTAAGAATGAAGCGACCTGGACGAAAGTTGACAAGGAACTTTCCTCGCCGAACCAGTACCTCACGATATCCATACCGGGCCCCATGGCTGCGAAGAAAGTCATACAACTTACTGACGCGGCTACAAAAACCGCCACGGCGTCTCCAGTGGAAAGGCGCCTAAGGGCAAACGGACTGATAATCTGGAGGTCATTCTCCGGAAAAATCACGCCAGCGAATCTGGCACAGTCGATCCTCAACAAGCCTAATAAATCGCTCCACGCAGAATGGCTACGCCAAAAGGGAAGTAAGCGAACCCTTGGACTCCAAGTCACACTTTCTTCCCCATCCGACGTACAGGAGATCTTGGAGCGGGCTGGAAGCATTCAAAAGGCCAACCCAATGATCAGGC